GTTTAAATAGCAAATGGATCAATGATATTAATTCACTCAGGTGGACAAGAATTGTGAATCTCTCATCCAAGAAAAACAAAAGATGCGCACGTGAGCAACAGTTGACACTAACAGATTTAATATCTAGATTCAAAATGCACACTGTTTACTCACCTGCGCATGTGTTTCTCCTCCTTGAGCCAAAATTCACAATCCTTCCCGTGTTTCTCCAAATTTTCACCAGGAATTGATTTATACTTATGCAGTCTTCACGACTATGATTTCCTTGGCGACAGCCAAACTGAAAGAATAAAAAAAACACAGAAAGTTTTCCACTCAAAGGAATCCTGGGTGATCACGTGCTCTGACACACACTCAACTTTCGATACTAATCAAGTGAGTGAGTATTGAAGGAGAGCAATGCAACAGCTATTTTACCAAGCTGTAAAATATCTTATCAAGCGATATTTCAAATAAGCTATTCAGCCAAAGAAAAGAAAATTTGCTATCCAAACAGTCTACTGCGTGTTATTAGACACGGCCATTTTCTGATCAAAATGCTCACTACAAGAAATTCAACAAAATTAAATCTGCAATCTTCGAAACAATCAAAAATCAAAATTGTGCCTACCTCAAATCACTCTGATGTCACAAACGTTGAAAAACTCGAGCTTCCAAAATTTTTCTACGGGAGAATCGACAAAAATCGAAAAGGTCAACGTCGAGTTGTTCTTAGTTCGAAAGGTCAAAGGGAAGAGAAAGAATTTTCGTTTCACCTTCGCTTCAAGCGTTGATTGATATATTACGCTTACGCTGGGAAGATGCCCAAATTATGCCCAACCTTATGGGGCAAAACGAGGTCCAAAAAAATCTCACAACTAGATGGCGTACCATAGTTCGAAATCTCACACAGGCGATAGTGTCGAACGATGTCGGAGCAATACTTCGTAATTTGACGGGCAGGTGCGCCACTTACGACGAGAATCTATTGGAATGCAGATGGCGTGCGACTTGGAACAATTAAACAATCCATAATCCGGACTGTGAATCCGGAACGCTTGTATCGAATCCATGATCAATCAGTACGATTCTAACTAATATGGCGGTAAATTTGAATTTGTTAGTAATAGTTGTATTTCTTTTATTCGTCTGAGGCTTCTAACGAGCGCATCACGGACGTGAGATCATGAAAAAAGTTTATAGAAATCGAATTGGAGTGAATCACAAAATTTAATGTCTCAACAATAAATGCTTCCATTTTTGGCGATTGTGGAATAAACTGGTCAGCGGATATCAATATATAAGCTGCTCATAAATTTGATTGAAATTCACGAACCCGGACCAGTGTTGTCACCTCAGTGTATTTTACCCTAGAACTGAATCTAAATGGGTCTGTTTGAGTGGAATTTCATATTTCATTATGTCGAATTACTAAATCAAACGATAATTCACTGTCGCAAATCATTTTCTTGTCAGAGCTATGTACAATTTTTGAAATTTTTATTATTGAAATTACTGATATTTATCACATAAAAAACGCGGAACATTGCGTGACAATTCTATCAATCCAAAGTATTTTATACTGGTATATGATCCGACCTATGTATTGCCGAAACTTGGAGTGCCAATAATTTCCTTTGATTTTTGCCGTCCTTTGTCGCCCTAACAACACAAGTACATCCTAGGGACTTCATGGGGACGTCCCTAATTTTATACAAGGACATCCCAGAGATATCCTTTGTCGAGACAGAGTACATATCGAGGTACATATACTAGGGACGTCCCAGGGACATCAGCTGGCTGACAAAAAAAGCATCCAAGGGATTTCCGTCTGGTACGTCGCTGGGATGTACCAAGTACGAAGAAAGGATATCCTTATATAGGAGGTCCCAAGGATATTCCAGGGACATCCCTTCGACAAAACAAAAAATGTAGGTCGAGTAGGGCTTGAACCCGGGACCTTTAGCTTTTTCAGGCACGCACCTTACTCCATTGGCTGATATGCCTTCTGAAGATTTATGTACCAAACAGATTTTTAAACAGGACCAAACTGCAGAAACCTGAATAAATACAACTTTGTTAGGATTTGGGTATAATTATTATCATTCGTGGATGTTTATTAAAAATGAGGGGCATTATGCATTTACGATTTCTGTTTGCGAAAAATGGTCATTTCTTGAGAAGTTCTGACTTTCTTTATTTTCATTACAATTATTTACCGGAAAAAACCAAACATTTTCATAAAAATTCAACTCAATATTTTGATGAAAGTCAATGACTCTGATGTGAATAGATATCAGATATACGAAGGACACGAATTGGATAACCTATGGATGTGCGGGACATTCCCTTGATACCCCAATTATGTCCTTGTACCGTGTGACAAAGAGGGGAAGTACCTATATAGTACATCCCTGTGTTGTTAGGGCGGAGATTCTGAGCGTTCCGTAGTCTGTACTCCGTTGTTCTGGAGCGGCAAAACCGATTTTACTCAGAAAAAGTTACTGGTATCACAAAATATCAACGCCGATTTCATGATTATATTATATCGTGGCATATAGACTGGAAATGTAGCTGTTTTCTGAAGATGTTGTTTTTATCTCTTCAAATATACCAAAAAAGAATTCATATTTTTCAACAACTAGATAGGTACTGTAAAAAATGGTTCATAAGCTTGCAGCATCAACTCTTGTAATCCAATAAATAAATGAATTCTATAGGTATATGTTCCAATAGTTTATGACTCACTCTGTATATTTATGCCTATTATAGATGATGTATTTCATTTCATTTTTATAGTGAACCATTAACAATCAAAGATTCAAAGATATCTGACTATTTATTTTCGATCTACTGATGAGACTCTAAGAAATTATCACATTCAGATTGATTATATTATCAATATTTTGTAATGTCTTATTAATACAAAACTTTAAAATGGATACAAATTGAGTAAGAAAAATAATCAACGAAAAAGGCGTGAGATGTTTTTCCAGATAATATACAAATTATATTGGTCTAGGGTCTAGGCAGAGTATGATCGACAAGTCATTCACCATTCACAAGGGAATTTAAAAAAACGCCACGGAGTAGGAACACTGAGTGAGAGATCATAATATGTTCTTCTCTCTTCCGCAAGGAACCGAGGAGTGACGCGGTGGGATGGGATCTGTAATTCTGTACAAAAGTGTAGTAATCTGTACAATTAGTTCAGACATGTTCTGTGTGCCTAGTGGAGTCGCTACCTCACAGTGGTTAAACGATAGACGAGGGGATGAGAGGGGCATCGACTCGCAAATAACACAGGTTGGGCATCTTCCCAGCGTAAGCGTAATATATCAATCAACGCTTCAAGCGAATTCGTCATCACGTGACTTCTATCAATCATTCAATTGGCCAACGGACATCTCTGTAAATACACTTGTTGAATTGTATACGCGCAGGTTCCTACTCCTTAGCTAGTGATTCAGTTCTAGGACTCTAATTACCATCATCATAGTAGAACGAAGGGAACTGGAAGTGTTGTTTAATGTTCGTGATATTTCCAACAGATGCCGCTGCCAGTATCAAATTGCTGTGATCTATTAACAACTTTTATTGATATTCATTATGAATAACTTGAAAACGAGTAACGAATTATATTTCGTTACAATGTATGACAATCAAATCATTTAATTCTCCTATAAAGCAAAACGTAACCTATTCAATTGTCATTCATCATAATAACACAAACGTTCTATTAATTGTGTACTCGACGTAACCGAAACTCGCTTGTAGGTAGTCGCTGCAAATGTATGCAACACACATCACAGGTTAGACAAGGAAAGATTCATCAGACCTCTCTATATTTTGATACGGCTAGGTTGGTAGCATTGAAGAGAAAGATGGAAGAGGAGAGAACTTTCCTTTCTAGCTCTCTCTCGTTGAAGGTAGGGTCCCTCGATGTAAATTGACGTATTTGAAATCTAACAGGGTACGAACAGATCCTCGTCTCCTCTCACTCAAAAGTGTTTGTGAAACAGTTATATATTTCCATCTTTATTCATTTCTGGGGATAAACACTAGATTTCTGACATTTTTGTTGTTTTTTTAGGTTATATTGAACACATTGGCGTATCATACGTGATTTCTCATTCAACTTCACATATTATATCCCAATGATGATGATAATTTTCGAGTTCTTGATTTTCCAACTCCAGCATAATCTCTGTGAGGCAGTGAGCAAATTTTTCTGAAAGTTTAATACGTTTCACCAAATGGGACTGTTCTTAGGCAGTAACCTATCAATAAATGAATTTTGATTTCAGACTAAGCCTTATGGTTGAGAAATGGTGAAAAATGTTATGTAGGTATTCGAACTGATGTGCTCATATGTCATGTGTGCTGTATATATTCATGTTGGGAATCATTTTTGCAGTTTTTCACGAACACTTGATATTTCCTGAATGTAGGTATACTTTTTTAAATGGTAGGGCATATGCCTCTTCTATTAATCCTCCGTTTTAGTCAAAGCTGTTTCTACTAAAATGCATTAGAAAACTGGTGGAGTGGATAATTATAGGCACAATCAGAAAGTATAATATGTGATTTCGTGTTAGTTTTACCTAGAATATTTTGTTGATGTATTTACCAATTTTCCCATTCGGTCCCTTCACTTTCTATGTTCTAAGTTCATTTGTATTTGATGGAAAGCTGACAAATTCATATTTGCCATCCAACTGATTGATACAGCCTAACGCAGCACATTTTACCATCCTTACAAATCATAATTGAATAATGTCGTATTGAGATCAAGTATGAAATTAAAATTCTGTAAGATCTCTTTTAACGCCTATGAATGTGACGTGACAGCAATGTCATGTCAGGGACGCCAATACAACGAAACCAAAGTCACTAGATGATTGAAAGAGAAAGGAGCTATGATCTGTCCGTACCCTGTTAGATGACAAATACGTCAGTTTGCATCAAGGGACCCTAGTTGAAGGTAGGAAAGAGCTCTATTGAGATGAGAGAAAACTTACTTTCGCCACGGTGGAATCGATGTTCCCCATGTATTCTCCATCGACCACCACAGTACTCTTTGCGGTGGTGCATTTCCGCAACACTGCCTCTCTCAGATGCTCGGCGGCGGTGAAATGCAGGCCGGACTTTATTTTCACCATGTAAACGTCCGCCGATGGCTCGGTGATCTCGATTTTGGGCCGGGCAGACGAATACAGCACGAAAGTGATGTTGACGGCGATGCCGATCAGGATGCCGTATTCCAGGTTGATCAGCAAGCAGCAAACTAGGGTTATGGTCAGCGGGATCAGGTCCAGTTCTGAAACGAGAGAAGACCACCAGCATGAATAATTGTAGTCTGGCTTCTAAAAGATGATCGCCGGGAAGGTGAGCCAAGAGCACGATATAAATGTTGCGATCATCAGCTCACTTCCCTCCCAGTTTGCCAACCTAAAAGCCTCTACCACTGTAGAAGCAACATTATGGAAGTTTGATTACTCAAATAGCTTTATTTTGGTGAAATCTGGTTGTAGGAGTCTACTCAGCTTTCCAATGGAAGTTATTCAGAAGATAAATTAGTTTTTGTGAACTTCAATCTGACTGCTTGAAAATCGTGTTGGTGCATCTTAGGTAGGTACGTCAATACTGTAATGTCGATACTTTCAATTCGCGATTGTGACGGCAATAACTTGAACACTTCTGAGCGGTTTGATTTGATGATATGACCAATGAGCACGAACAAAAAACAAATGCGAACTAACGAAAACAAAGTTATTATGCCGCTTTGACAGCTTTCAAGATCTCTGATAGGTGGTGCACGCTTATTTTCTATCGTGATTGGTGTCAGTAGTGTCACGAGTAAAAAATAGTATAATATATTCAATACATCACTAAAGCAGTGAGTTCGAATCACGTTCAAACTTCAAATAATGATCAAGAAACTCTAATGAAAAACGTGCCAACCTATTATAAACTGGATGTGAGGGTTCCAAAGTTATCTGGTCTGGGGCTACTCTCGACTAATCGTAATGGTAATCAACATAGCATTGTTATTAGGTATCTATATTTATTATTGTTGTTCATTTATATTTTCTCGCTAACCATAATATCTCATGCTATAATAAATACTGTGATGTTCGAATAGTCTTGTGATTTCAGCTCTCCTCAAACTATCAGTGTCCAATTATTTGAATAAAGGTTTGTTATTTTGATATTGTTGTATTTCGACATTTGTGATATGTATCTCTATTATTGGAAACCTTGTCTAGTTTTTCTTCAAGGTGAACAGTGTACGCTTTAGAAGTATTTATTGATCGATTTATTTGTGTTTTTATTTATGATATCGACTGTAATTTGTCGATTCCACACAGTTATGGTTTCATCCACTTGAATACACTTCCTTGGTTTATTTTTCTTTCCAGGTGAAGGTTGAAATTATTATTATTTTATTCTTACGAAGACATGTCTGGATCGATTTTTAGCACTCAAATGAAATATATTCCTACTTCCTACCGCAACCATCGTCCACCAATTTGGTGGACGATGCCGCAACGATCAAGCTTTTTTACCAAAGAATGAAAAATAATAGTGTTGTCCATGAATAAAATAATCCTGAATGTGTTACAAAAATGAAAAATGTGACAAGTAATAGAATTGACGACGATATGACATATTTCAGAATGAAAGCAGGTGTATCAATATAATTTTCATCAGAACTGGAGTTCACATGAATACATTTTTCTTCTGAATAACTTCTATTAGTGAGCTGAGTAAATTCCTATAATCAGATTTCATCAGATAAAAGCCATTTGAGTAATGAAACTTCTATAATGTTGCCTCTACATTGGTAGAGGTTTTCAGGTTGGCCACTTGGAGTGAAGTCCCCCATTTAAAAACGGAATCTCAAGCGATCACTAGAAATGGTGGTATCGATTTGAAAGTGCAACTCAGTCATATCGTTCATTACTTGATGAAATCGACGTCATCTGCAAAACCTAATTATTATTAAGATACGGTAGGCTCCGAGGACTGAACGTCTTGTTTTTCTCCCTTTCGTCCCAGGACTTCTTTGGCGAGTCTAACTATACTAACAAGATCACTGATGCGATAAGATCAAAACTCCTTCATTTACGAGATTGAAGTTGGTTCAATCATTGTCATTCTAGATGAAAACCTAGTTAGTAGGAAGAGGTATATTATTGTCTGTTCATGGACCCAAAATTTGTCTGCCTGTCAATCATATAAATTGGAACAACTGGTCTTTACGTGCGTTCAAACTGGATTGAATTGGACTTGCATACATATCACTTCGAATATGATGAATTATTCATCACCTATATGACTAAACTTTTACATAGCACATATTATAACTAAGTTTCCTTCTGTTATCTTCTAGAGAAAAACATATACTTTCCTAGTAGTTTGACAAGTGACAGATGTGCTCCGATTGATAATTAACCTGTCAGCTGACATTAAATATAGCAACATTGTAAACCTCAGAGCTAAAATTTTTTCATTTTTATCCATCCATGAAGGCATATTAGTATGATGTTTGCTTGTTTTAGTGCCTATTGTCACTGTCGTTTAAAATAAAAACTTAGTAGGCGAGGGGTATATGATATTCTCTTCTCATTGGCCCAACATTTATCTCCTGTCAATGGTTCTAGTTTGCTGGAAACATCATGTTTCAATGGAATATTCATCAAAATGGACAATTTGAGGTTGAAGTTTTCAAAACGTCATCGCAGACAAATCCAAATTTTGATTTGATTGTTTAATTTGAAGTTAGTTATTGGTTGATTTTGGCACTTCTACAAGAGGTGGAGGTATGCGAATTCTTTAACACTCATTTCTCAATGATGACGTGAATATAGGACAACATGCAATTGTTTCAAAATCGTTCTAAAATTGTTCTTATCCGTCATTCGGTTGCCGCCTTGCGAGCAACCCTCAGTCTTCCAGAGACTTGTGCCAGCATTTAACCTACCATTTAACCTGTGATCCCAAACACTTTCTTAGGCCATCAATCGGGGATTTGAACCCACGATCGGCAAGCGAACGCGATAGAATACTAACTCTTCAACCACACGGCTGCCTGACCTCCTAACGTCCAACACCAGGTAAGAGTTTCGGTAGAAGTGTACTTATCATGCGATGGTTTTTTTTTTCGGAAATTTGTTAGGTACTTACATATTTTCGTTTGAAAAACACGAATTTCAGAATGAGAAAAAACCGCTATTTATCGAGATATTTTATGAAAAAGTGCGAATTTTTACATTCACAAATAGTTGTGAATGAATATCCAAGATGGGTGGCAAAACATGGTGAAATTTCGCATTTTTTTGTGAAATATCTCAATAGATAGCGGTTTGTTCACATTCTCATTGTGAAATTAGTTTTTTTTTAGACGAAAATACGTAAGTACCAAACAAAAATTTTGAAAAAAAACCATCGCATATGAGTGCACTTTTACCAGAGTTTCTTCTTAACAATATAAAAATAAGCAGTTCCTACTCAAATTCAAATAACATCAAATGAATCAAGAATTTCATCATTGCATCAGTAACAGTTGTTCATTCATGCATCCTGTTTTCTCTATCTCTCTCTCTCTCTCTCTCAGAATATATGGCCTCTTGTCTCACGACATACAGCGAGAGCCCTTATTACGGAGAATCCGTCCCCATCCGGCCTGGGTACCGGCGTAAATAATAAGGGTTTTGTTTTTCGAGCACCCTGGATTTCTCACTCGAAGTGATATCAGGTATTGTGTTCTCTTAGCGTTTCAAACTCACAAGTCACAATCACAAAAACTTAACCTGACTTCCGACTTGAAGACGCCGCCTGTCTTCCACCACGGTCGGAAGTCGAATCCATCCTGTTTTCCTGATAAGTTTTTGAATATGAGAATTTTTTAGGGTTAGAATAAGAAATGAATATCTTAGTTCGGAATAGAGGTCACTAGCTTACTGATTTAGAACGGGAATGGTTACATTTTCAGTGTGACGATCGGAATTAAATTTGTCGTTCACACGATAAGCTTTCCCTGCATATGAAACTAGGAATTGAAAGAAAAATCCTTACTTTTTGTCCTCCACAATAGCAAGAAGGCCTCAAAATCGCACAGATAGTACATGGCGACCACGATGACCCCCGCCAGCGTCGTCTTGGGAATGTACTGGAACGTGGAGGTGAGGAAAGCGAGCGCCATGAGCACGATGACGCCCGTCACGACGCCGCAGGTAGGCGTCCTGGCGCCAGACGCGTTGTTCACCGCCGTCCTCGTGAAAGACCCCGTGACGGGCATGGATTGGACTAAGGCCCCCATGATGTTGCAGGCGCCCAGGGCGAGCATTTCTTGCGTGGCGTCCAGGGTTTTTCCTTTGGCTTCGGAAAGAAGAAGGCGTTGTCAGAAAAATCTTGAAAACGATAACTATCTGTGTGTTTCGATTGATTAAACATGTACAAGGTGCTCTTTGAACCTTGTTTCTGTGGGTCGCCTAGTTTGACCTATAATTTCACCTAACCTCAATTTATGCCAATGAATTAGTTTTTTCAAAATTTGTTTTATCATTGTATCATTGACACTAGCCACTCTATAAACAACCTTTCTTCAACATTAAATCGTTCAAGGGAAATAAGAATAAGAAGCTGGTGACGCGCATAGATAGGACGAAGACACCCACGATGTTGAAGCGTTTCCTGCGTGGCTTCCAGGGTTTTTCCTTGGCTTCGGAAAAAAGAAGGCGTTGTCAAACTGGTGGACTATTTTTTCTTCAATAGAACCATCACTTAAGCCCCGAGACTATATACCAGGTTACCAGAAAAAATACAGAGCATACCAAAAAGAAGGTACTTATTAACGAAATTCAAAATAAAGGTTAAATCCTGGCTATTATAAAATTCTCGTCAGAATATTCAGGATTTAATTAATCAGAAATAACTCCAAAGCCTCATATAAACAAGTAATATCATGATACAATAACAAATTATGCACTAACCTCAGGCACAACCTTCAATATCATAGCACTAGGTATACATAATATTATTTCAAATTCACACACATGTTTCATATAGATAGTTTTTATAGTTATATATTTCAAAGGTGATATTTTTACGATATATTTTATATTTTTTATACAATTTGTTTTACATTAATATTTACATTAACACGTTGATCCCTGCATTAGGTAATACCAAACTCAACTCAGAAACGGTCATATTTTCGGAATATCTGTAAATACTCCTCTGAGAACCGAACTACCAGTATACTAGCAGAGCAATTAATTTTCAGGACTACAAAAATGAACGGCGCACCTATATCATACCGCAGATCCAGATCTGCGTAAAGTGGTAATCAGTACATCAGACAGTGGTAGTCAGGTGTCACCGTGAAGCAAAGTTTGTTTTGTATAATTTAGTAACTATTGAGTATTACTTATACATATTTCAACTCACATATACTCCAAACTCACGAGCACGTACAAGTGGACTTGCCACTTTTGTGTTTAGTTGTTTGTTCACATGCTAGTCATCGCATATTACTGATTATATATTAACCATTCTGTTTTATGTTGAATAAACATTATTTTTATTATCATTATCATTATTATTATCATTACCTTTCAACTCCATATTCTTTTAGATTTCCTCGTTTGAGTTTAAGGTGCTTAAAATCATCAATATTTTGCCACGGTAATTTTCAAACGGCTAGCAATTCACCGCAAATAAAAACTGACGTCACAATTTCGTAGGTATACGGATGGAAACTTCAGGAATATTATTTATTTAATAATTTATGACCTCTCATTAATTATGTAGGTACCGTAGAATGGGGTGACTTGATAAGATTTTTGACACACTTCCATAGATTGCGACCTTACCATGCAACTTTCAACCAAACTAAAAATAGTCACCAACTCTTTCGACCCTAAAGAACAGAACGATACATTAAAACCGTTTCTATACAGGGTGATTCAAAATTCGATGTAAATATTTCAAGGGCGTATTGTTGGGATCAAAATAAGACTTTTTCTTCAAATCAACATGTGTCCTAAAATGCACCCCCTCCGAGCTACAGCCCCTGTAAGTTGGGAAAAAAACAAGATTATCTAAAACTGTGACTATAATAACGAATCGAATCTTCTGAAAATTATTTTCACCATCATTTGAATCTTATTTTTCCAAATCGTTGGATTGGTAGAGCTGGTCCAATAGCTTGGCCGCCACGTTCCCCGGATTGCACCCCATTAGACTTTTTTTTTATGGGGATATGTGAAAAGTGCTGTTTATGATGCTGGGCCCGTGCATTCGGTTGAGGTCCTCCGTCAACGCATCATTGATGCTTTCCAAAACATAAGAACCACTCCTGGGATTTTAGAACGTGTTCGACGTTCTATGCAATGAAGAATGGAAAGTTGTATAGCAGCAAGGGGAGGACATTTTCAACATTTATTATGAGATTAATAATTATTTAATTACCCAATAAAGTTAGTTTGATATTGTGAAAGTACCCCCCTTTCGTTGATTACGATTTTCTGGCAAACGGTTAGTTGTATGACAAAAATGCAAGACACCGAATTCTCAGTTTTTTTTATGGCCAATAAGATTATGCTATTCGAATTCATAGTTTCTCTTTTTGAACATAAAAATTGGGCCAATAAAAGTGTGGACCCCCCTCCAATCTAATAAAGAATATGAAACTCAGACAACTCAGAAAAACCGGTGGCGTACAATGACATTCACGAAATATCGATAAATTTACCCACTGTAACGCCACTGGAAATATCATTCAGAATCTAATTGCACCAGAACAAGACTTATATTACTATTAACAAAACCACAACGTTTTATTGAAATTGATGAAAAGACAACTGAGTAATGAATAAAAAAACAATTTTTCATGGAAATATTAATACCCTGTATCTCGAAAACGAAGCAAGTTAGGACACGACTTTATTTCCTTAAATATCACAAGGAATCACCCCTTGAATTTCGGTGTTATTCAGATACACCCTGTATATACAGTGTTTAACCTGTACACATTTCTTTTATACATACAATATGGATGTAATTCTGTGTTGTAAACAAATGAGGAGAATAAATAAACGACTTCACTACAGTAATCTAAAGGTCGCGGGATTTATCCCCGGTAGGAGTGCTTTTTTCAATTTTTAATTCAAAATGTGATTTTTCTACCCTGTCTAGATCTTTTTTTTTAACTATCTGAGTAAAAAAAGGCGAATCTTCGTTCCTGAATGGACATACGGGGAATGTACAAATGCGCGGAATTTGGACGTCCCCAGTACGTACCTAGTACGTCTACGGTCCTAATCTGGACGTCTTCAGTACGTCTTCGCCAAACGTTCTCGGTACGTTTTGGGGACGTACTCGTGCTATATGGGAGAGAACAACCTCATCATGTATAGCAAAAGAAAGATCTATTAGGTCGTATTGTATTCACCCCTTATGCATACGGGAGCGATATTTGACCTTAAACGGAAGGCACAATGCACACGGACGATAAATCTGGCGCTCGACAAATAGGTCTGCACACAAAAATCACGTAAATTTAGTAGAATCAACAGTGTGTAATTGTACGAAGTGTAGATGTAGGCGGTTTATTTACAGTAAATTTATGAAGAAAACGTTTTGAAGGTATGGCTAGGCATATCAATTGATTAGAAGTATAGGTACTTACAAAATGCTTTAGCAATCGCTATGTGCTCCAGTACTGCTACAAGTGGGCAAAATATCACCACCGATCCATATTCCTGCATCATTTCAGTGAAAGTATATTCCGTTCCATTGAAATTTGTGCCGAAAGGAGGTAAAGTGAATGGTGGTAAACCTCCTTTTACTTCCCCTACAAAAAAACTCATGGAGATTCATCCAACAGTGATTAATTTTTGAAACTAGAGAATGAAAAGTGAAATTTTAAATCCTATGTGTGTCCAAAATATACAGGGTGTCCGTTTTTCGAGCTCTTCCATGGAGATCTCAGTTATTATAAGAGATACGAGGTCGGTTAAATTTTTTCAAGCGGAAACCAAAAGACCTAGACGTTTTTGACTGGGACATTCTTAAGGCACTTTTTTACTATATTATCAAGTTATAAACTCATGCAACTCAAAGGCCACTAATATATAACTAATGATGCATTCTATATTTCAGAAGTACCTCACAACGAAGAATCAACTTTGAAGGAATGCTACCCAATAAGATGTAGATACCAAATACCAACCAGTGCGCAGTCACTCCGAGAAGTTTCGTTGAAAAACAGAGAGGTTAAGAATAAGATATCATTGTGTCATTCATAAAATCGTTCTCTTGGAATCTGGTAAGTGCCTGATTTATGATGAGAAGGTTATATTGTGAAATAAAGAGGTACTAAAACTTTCAGATCTATTGAACCCCTAATATAATAAGAGGCAAGCATGATAGGATTTTATCAAACCTAATGCAGACTGCACTCAACTTGCTGAAAGACTGGTGCTTTCAGGAGAGCTTGAATGTCAACCCAAGCAAAACGGTCATCGTTCTATTCACCAAAAGAAGGAAGATCAAGTTAAAGGAACCCATCATGGATGGGACGCCTATCAATTTCTCCGAAGAGGTCAAATACCTAGGAGTAATCCTAGACAAGAAACTCACGTGGAACCAACACTTGACCAAAATCGTCAATAGGGCAATTTCAGCTCTCTGGATATGCCGAAAGATGTTTGGCCAAACGTGGGGTCTTAAACCAAATATGATCTACTGGTCTTATCTCACGGTGGTCAGTCCCATGGTCACATACGCTTCTTTAGTGTGGTGGACCAAAAGTAAGGAAAAAACAGCACAACTTAAGCTGCAAAAAATCCAGAGACTCGCGTGTCTTGGGATCACAGGGGCTATGCGTACGTGCCCTACTGCAGCAATGGAAGCTATGCTTGACCTACTACCCTTGCATATTTTTATCAAGAGGACTGCAGCTCTCAGTGCATACAGACTGAACTCCACCGAATTGGCCAGACCTGGTGATATCACTTGTCACATGGCCATTCTATAAAAAGTACAAATGGAATCTGCAACCAAACCATCGGACATAATGCCAGCCAGGCTCAGTTTAGATCATACCGTTGAAGTGGTTATAAAAAGCCGCCCTAGGTACGGTTCCGCTGAGCCTCAGCTGGACAGAGGTTCCCTTGTTTGGTACACCGATGGTTCGAAAATGGAAGAAGGGCTAGGCGCGGGTGTATATGGACCCGGATGTAGGCTATTTGAAGCCTTAGGTCACTCCCCCACTATCTTCCAAGCTGAAATACATGCCATCAACCTTTGCGCCCAAAGGTGCCTGAGCAAAGGTCTGAGGGGTGCTAACAAATATATCTGCTCAGACAGCCAAGCCGCACTAAAAGCCCTAAAATCATTCGGTTTCACATCAAAAATTACATGGGACTGCTTTGAAACACTCATGCAACTGGGAAAGGGCAACAAAGTCACACTTATGTGGGTTCCAGGGCATGAAGGAATCAAAGGCAGCTGATCGCCTTCCAAAAAAAGGTGCAGCATCTGCACTTTTTGGTCCTGAGCCTTTTTGTGGGATAAGCAAATGTCACCCAAAGGGAGAACTCGGGAAATGGGAAGAAATTGAAAAGTCCTCCTACTGGAGAGCAACTCCAGGTCAACGACAAGCGAAAAGGTTCATCAACCATTCGCAAAACCGAGCCAAAGAGCTACTCAGCCTCAGCAAACCAGAGCTAAAGCTTATCACAGGCTTTCTCACAGGACACGGCCCTCTGAGGTACCACCTCAAAAAGATGGGTCTGGCGGAGACTGACACTTGCCGCTTTTGTAACAATGCGACCGAAACCGCGGAACACATACTTTGCTCATGTGAAGTATTAGTCCGCCAATGGCTGAACCACCTAGAACAGGTCTATCTCACCCCTGCTGAAGTGGAAAAGTCAACCGTCAGGAAAATCGTAGGCATCATCAGAAGTCTAGGGTTAAAGGACCAAAACTAGATAGGGGTAATCACAATAGATCTTCTAGGTCGCAGTGATCGAGAGGTCTCCCAGCCTATACGACCCATCTACAATCTACACCACAGTACCACACCCCTCAGTAACGAATAAGTAATGTTTTCTTGAATTGAATTATTATAATACAATAAATAGACACCAGGAATATAAAAACAAAAATACTATGTTCTTATTGTTGTTACTCAATAACGAATGCCCATGGTGGTTAACACTGTTGACATTTGACAAAACGTCAATAATACCCGCCATATTCGAAATGGCCAATCAGCATTTTGTGTTGGAACTTTAGCCAATGAGACTTCACCTTCGCATTACCCAATACATTTTTGGATCCAAAAACGAGCGCATGCGTCTTAAAAATATATCTGGATGAAAAGGCCTATTATCACAATAAACTATCATTTACTGGGCCGCTGATGTCAGGTATGGAAAAAATATATTATACCATTGATGCCCCATATGTAAATGTTTGCTGGGAAGTGATATTTAGCCAATGTGGATGAAGTAGTGAGAAATATTTACCTGTCAATTTGAATGGTTCTTGGCCATATTGTTGGAATATATAGGCCATGACAGTACCAATAATCACAGCAATGGCATTACTAGCCAAAGAAAACATGAAAATCGCGATACCGATAATATTTCTTCTTCTGCTCCAATCTGGTCTATGTTTGAGTGACCCAAGTTTTCTCATTTCCTGAAAATTGCGAAGATTTTGATATGTATCAATTTAAATGAAGACTGTAATCATATCTCTTTCAAATCGAGAATAAACCGATTTGAAAATAGATATAAACAGAGGCACAAAAAATGTAAAATGAAAAACACTTTCAAACTGACAATATAATTTTCTGACCAGAGCAAAATATTTTCGGTTGTAGCCTGAAGTTCAAGAAAGTTCAATTTGTGAAGGGTTTATATTATTCCTAGAATAAGATAATCAATTTGAAGGTGCCTATGTGCAGAGCCGGATTTAGAGGTCTGGAGAGGCTTCTGATTGTTTTCCAAATTATATTAACAAATTTCTTGGTCAATATTTGTTTGTGAAACCAACTAAATGATTTCAAAATATTCAGGGTGTTTCTTAGGTAGGTACGTGTAAAAAATTCAGGAGGATCTTGCTGACGTTTAAATAACAAAAGAAGTCTGTACAAACATATGTCCACAAGTTATTCATTCTGAGATAAAGAGTGTCAAATTTTGATTGTTATTTCGGTTTTTCGTGATTTAATTCCGAAATAATCGTGCGGGGCTGTAGCCCTGGATGCCCTTTCCTAAATCCGGCACTGCCTATGTGTTATATTTGCAGTGAATATTCTCAAGTTTACTTTTAAATCATAATGACTACACTGTTTTACGACTAACCAAACCGATTTTTTAACGCCTCGACACGTGTTTCGCTAACTATGTTAGCATCTTCAGGAAAAGATTAAAACTCCGAAAATTGTAGGAGAAAATTCAAAAAACATAAAAAAAATCTGAAACTTTGACACCCTGTTAATTGGAAACGAAGCTTCCACGAATATATGTTTGTATGAGATTTTCATCTTAAAAAAATGTCTTCTTCAAGCTGTTAAAGTCCTGCTACAAAAAACTGAAACACCCTGTATATCTGTTATAAATACATATGAAAACATATTAGATAATTTTATGTTCCAATTAGAAAATGCTTGTTTCCATATCTTTTTTGGGTTGAAAGACGCTAGTTTAGAGTTATAACTCGGAATTTTGAAGAGTTTTTATTTTTTTTATTTTATGTGGCCCTTCCAGGGCTTCGTAGCTTCGTAAATACCTTTGCTATTACTAAAAAAATAATTGTAAAAAGTCCTAATACGACATCAGTCCATCTGGTTTCGTTGATGTGCTCGAATACGGATATCAAAGCTACAAGGAATGTATCGGACTTTCCTGTGATTCCCAGAAGTCCTTTGATTTGCGATGACGCAATGTTCAGGGCTGCTGCAGTTGTGAATCCTGCTATCACCGGGTAAGAGAAGAATTCCACTATGAACCCTGAAATAATGGAAATTTCGTCAACCAACAATAGAAAAAGAAGAAAGTACAATATACAGTGAGGTCGACAAGTGACGAATAAATTAATTCAATGCTGAAATACGGCAAATGATTTTGGCAGTCGATACGTGACCAGAATTGAGAAAATACACTCAGTTCCAAAAAAAGTGACGCACTTGATATTTGACCTATCTTCCTAAAAAAAAAATAGAAGGTCGATTTTTTTCATTTGTTGGTAGGTAATGCATTTGTCTTTAGAAAAAATAAAGAGGTGAACATTTTTTCAAAGTCTCCTTGATAGTGGTGGAATAACTCGAACCAGTCGAACCATGATATATTCTTAATTTTTGACTCACCCTGTGTGTTAATTGAGTAATGGTATACAAAGTGCTTACACCCTATACGAAAGAGGCTTCTTTTGCGAGCATTTTGTTTTTTTATTCATTGATTTATCTCTAAAATTTTCCGAATTACAGCTTTTTTGCTGATACCTTACGCTTATCCCACAAATTGAATTATTGAAGGATCAGAGTACTCAAAATTAAATGGGTTGTACTCTGGTAGGATCACATTGTCTCTAAAAAAACAAATGCCGTTGCTATAGCAACTAACTTGTTGTATGCCTCCATATTTGACCATTTGTCGTTGTGTCATTAATTAAGTGTCTTGTTTTATTGACTAAAATTAGCAAGATTAGTTGCGTTAGTAAGAGATGGGCGTAGTAAACGTTACGCCGCTCGTGCAGTGGGAGTTCATGAAGCAACTGCTCGTAGAGCAATCCGCAAGTACGAACAAACAGGAAGCACCGCTGGTTCTGGTCGCCCCCGAAAAACTTCTCCAAGAGATGATCGCTTCTTGAGATTGCGGATCTTACGGAATCAATACTGCGGTAAATGTTCGGCAAGATCTTCGCCAAATTCGTGATGTTGCAGTAAGTAAGCAGACGGTATATAGACGTCTAAAAGAAGTTAATTTGAAAGCTAGGAGACCTGCAAAAGGTCCCAAATTATTGCCCGAACGTCGTGCTGCTAGAAGAAATTTTGTTGAAAATTATGGACAGTGGAATATTCCTGAATGGTCGAATGTCTTGTTTACGGATGAGTCAAGGTTTTGCCTTAACATGGTGGATGGGAAAAAAAGAGTGTGAAAAAAAAACTGGTGAACGGTTTAATCAAAATTTACAGCATGCGAAAGTTTTAATGGTGGGTCCGTTATGGTGTGGGGAGGGATTTCAATGAATGGAAAGACATTCCTTCATGTTTTTCCGGTGAGGCAGTCGATGAATGCCCAAATTTACATTGACATTTTAGAGCAGTATGTCTTACCTTATGCAGAGTTAGTGGGCAATAATTTTATATTGATGCAGGATAATGCCCGACCACACACCGCAGCAATAGTGCGGAACTTCTTAGAAGCTACTGGTATTACCACATTACAATGTCCTGCGAGAAGCCCCGATATGAATCCTATAGAACATTTTTGGGATGAATTAGAGAAAAGGGTACGTTCTCGCGAGAGGTCTCCGGAAAGTCTTGCAGAAATGGCAGATACATTAGTGGAAGAATGGGATCGTATACCGATGGAAACGATAAACAACTTAATTTCCAGTATGCCTCGTAGATTAGAAGTTCTCAGAGGTGCTAGAGGAGGCAATACGGTATTAAGCAGTCATCCCAATTTATAATTTTGTGTTTAATAAAAATGTTTTTTGAAATTATTGGTATCAGTTTATTTTATTAGAAAATTGTTTCTCGATAAATTCAGAAAGTTGGTAATCTGCAAGGATTCAGCAAAAAAATCAATTCGGAAAATTTTAGAGATAAATCAATGAATAAAAAAACAAAATGCTCGCAAAAGAAGTCTCTTTCGTATATGGTGCAAGCACTTTCTATGCCATTGCTCAATTAACACACAGGGTGAGTCAAAAATTAAGAATAAATGATGGTTCAAGTTATTCCACTACCATCAAGGAGGCTTTGCAAAAATTTTAACCTCTTCATTTTTTTTTAAAGACAAATGCATTACCTACCAACAAATAGAAAAAATCGGCCTACTATTTTTTTTCAAGGGAACTGAGTGTAGTTTGAATTAGGTTTTGGGTCTGGAAATGACTACTGAGGGAGCTACAGCCTCCTATAATGTTGTGTATTTATCAACACGCTTTCATTATTTTATTTTCTACCTATTTTCAGTTCAGCTCTATATACACGTGTTTTTTTTGTTGTTTCAAACTACATGTTTATTTGTTATTATATCCGAAATGATTCGAGATAGACAAAAGGGGCGAGTGGACTGATAATGAATTATTGGCATTCAATTACTCCCGCTGAGTCGTTATATAGGAACCCAAATAACTGTTTGCGTCGTTCAAAATCGTTGAATTTCAGAGGTCATATCAAACGTAACGTCATGGTCGCCCTTTGACTATACGTCGAATAAATAGTGACGTCAGTCTTAATACTGTTTCGTTATTGGTCAGATAATCTTCCATTTTCACTCATGAAGCAAAGTCACCAAATCACCAATTATTATCCAGTCATCAAAAAGATGTTTGAGTCCTGTCGTTGAATAAACATAATAGGAGGAAGCCATGATATTATCTTTCATTCTCGTCTTTTTCGAGCAACCAGCATGTCCAAATATTTCTTATTCTCCATAACAAAATATCATGTGAATGTTGGAGACTTGGTAACATTGTGCTGAATGCTGAGAATTGACAAGACCACGCCCACAAGTCGTGCGCGCGGGGTTGTCACGTTCACCGATTCAATTGTTCTCTATAGTGAGAATCAATATAACTATTATTTACACTAATTTCTTATACGCAATAAGCCACAAATCATAAAGGAACATTTTGAGACAATTGAATTTTTATTACTCTAGACATTCCAGAGAACCTTTTGAAAGGACGTCCATTGGATGATTTCTCAAATAGGTGCAATGTATATCCTTGAGGGTATCCTTTTTTGGTGAGAAGTCAGGACGTTTGTACTCTATACCTTTTCAACTTCAATTTCGGAATCGGTAAGTTATATTTCGGAAAAAGTAATCTCGATTTCAGAATTGGTTAGTTCGATTTCAGAAATGGTAAACTCAATTTCAGAATCGGTGAGATGAATTTCAGAAAATGTCCATTCAATTTCAGAAATGGTAAGTTGTATTTCAGAATTGGTAGGTTCATTATCATAAAAAAATCCTTATATTTGTTCGAAATGTTTCCAATTGCAATTTAAAATATTCAACTTTTCAAAAACAATTTAATCCACAGATGCCTTTCATCTGAATCGCTGGAAGATAGTGGCGTTGCACACAATTATAAGAATGCAAGCACATTTGAGGTGTTATCATGTTCATTGAATGATCTGCACATTCTTCAAGACATCGCAGTCTGAATTCTATCTGGTTGAGCAATCTGTTCGGATCTCCAGCTATGACCCTTTGGCGATGCTCTTGCAAGAAGCTCTTCACTTCTGACAACATAGGGCTCTCAAACACCGTTCAATCCACTGTAAACAGTCTTCTCTTTTGCAATTGAAAACATTTCAAACATATAAAAGGATTTCATCTTCTGAAATTGAACCTACCAATAATAATTCTGAAATGCAACTTACCAATTCTGAAATTGAATGGACTTTTTCTGAAATTCATCTCACCGATTCTGAAATTGAGTTTACCATTTCTGAAATCGAACTAACCAATTCTGAAATCGAGATTACTTTTTCCGAAATATAACTCACCGATTCCGAAATTGAAGTTGAAAAGGTATAGATGTCCGCGGTACCAAGAACGCATGTACCGGCGGTACGTCCTATAGACATCCATGTGACTTCATTGTGCTATTTGGGGTTGTTCTAGTATTAATCTCGGTATCAGCGGAAGTATATGTCAATATCTCTAACCCAAACCTTTGATTTTCAACAAAAGTACCTACTTGAATATCAACCTAAAGACTGCGATCTCTAACTGTGAAAATCATAGCAATAATCACGAACCTAAATGGAAAAGGCCACAAATGAAAATGATGCAGCCGGATAGGAACGTTAAGAGGGTGCTCGCCGCAGGGCCCATCAAGGACACATGGGGCTGTATCATGAGGGCCATGATGGCTGTGGGTCCAACGTTGATGTCTTTGCAACTTCCCAACAGGAAGTACATGAAACATCCCATGAAACCGCAGTAAAGGCCATATTGAGATGGAAGTCCTGAAATGGAGGATGTCCCTTTATTCATCCAGAATGAAGACAAAAATTCATAACGAACTTAAACTTAACAAGAGGAACCTAAAATCAGAGGGCACTTTTTCACATTTTAGTAATGTTTTTCATCTTCCGGATTTCCTGGAAATGACATCATCTTTCGATTTTCAAATGGAACACCATGTATTTTATTCCATAATCGGTTCGGAATTATTTTAACGAATTCAACAATACCGGGTTTGATTGGGTTATTTCAAACGATTAGGAAGATACTCGCGTATCCATATGATCAATGAGTGTGACAGAGAAAGAAGTTTTGATATTGCGCCGTCACACCCATTGAGCGTATGGAAACTTCGAACTCGAATATCTTCGTGGTCGTTTGAAATAACCCAATCAAACCCGGTAGTTCTGAATTCGTTATATATAATGATCCCTAACGGATTATGGAATGAAATACAGGGTGTTGATGTCATTTCCAGGAAATCCGTGAGATGAACAAAAATTCTGAAATGTGAGAAAGTGCCATCTAGTGAGTATATTCGATGTTCCAAATTCCAGAAATATAGCTAGGAATCCAAAGGAGAAAAGAGGGTATACCATGAGTCTGTATCACATGGTTTTTGTTTATAAGTTGGCTAGTTTTTTTTTTCAATGAAATATCTGAATTAGCAAATATTTTGTTGAATGATAATCATTCCAAACTCAACTAGTTCTTCAAATCCTGTCGTTTGTCCAATGGACTTATGACTTCATGAATCGATTTTGTGTTCATATTTTCACTAAACTCACGCAAGACTAATTTCGTCGCACCCCAAAATTTTGCCTCTGTTGAAATATGAATAACTTTTTTCTGCTTCGAACGATTTGAATTCGGATCACACTGGTCGCTAGCCCAGGCCATCAGCTATAATCTCGTAATCCATTAAAACATAGGGTTCTTCACATAAAATCGCTACAGGGTGTTACCTGAAACTGTGCAAAATTTCGGAAATTTCAAAAGTCTCCCAAATGATGAACAACTTTTTTTTTACAACTTTGACAGTAGAGGCATGTAGATGATCTAATTATTTTAGGACAGTTCTCGAATTGTCTTCTTATCTCTTTTATTTACAGAGTGGTCTCAAAAAATGAACTCTTCGGTTTTACAGTCATAGCTTTTCTCCTCAACAACCGATTTTTTAAATTTCAGGCTCATTTCGAAGCTTGAACTTCAGATGAAGAGATATGAAGATCAAAATTGACTCAAAATGAACATTATACAGTGTGTCTCACTTCTAATGGAAGCACCCCTGTATCTTTCGTAATTGTTGAGTTAGGATTCTGAAATTTGCAAGAGCTGTAGATATACTTTAAATGCATACTATGACCAAGTGAGTTCGTCTCCAGTGATATACACTGCTCGCCAACAGCCATGTAACCACCCACAAAAATGAAATAAGGAGGCAAGATAGGTTGAAAATCACTTCGGATTCAAAATCATTACGTCCCTTTCTCTTCCTCCTGTAAATTTCAGAGCCCTACGTCAATAATTACGTAAGATACGGGGGTGCTTCCATGAGGAGTAAGACAAAATTCAATTTTTCTGAACTGAAAATTTTCCAGGAAAAATATGTAGGTATAGTCAGTGAATTGGACGTCCTGATTTCGAATCCAGTCAGCTGCTTATGATCTGTAAGGCACAGATCCGACCTGTCCTGGAATACTGTTCCCATATTTGTAGTGCAGCACCCAAACATACCCTGAAACTGTTGGATTCTATCCAAAAAAATGCAATTCGCCTCGTGGGTGATGCCTCGCTCACAAACTCACTCACTTCTCTGGAACACTGTAGAAAAGTTGGCGATCTGGCTCTATTTAATAGATATTTTCATAAACGATGCTCTTCTGAGATATCAACAATTGTACCTCCCTTGGCAGTCCCCGCGAGATTAACCCGTCCAGTTGAGGCTTCGCACCCCTTCGTGGTCACTTTGGAGACCAGCAGAACATATCTTTCCAAAGACTCGTTCAGGTGTTCCCCGAGGCATATAACCTCCAGAAATTTAAGAAGAACACAAATTCCTACCTTATTTTCCTAGGTTCTCACGATGTTTCCTGAACATTACAGGATATCCCTGTTCGTGGGAACCAGATCATAAAAAAAAATATTGACATATACCTAATAACATTTTCTGGAAATTTGGATGGTTCCATGTCTGTTGACGAGCAGTATTTATCACTGGACTCTACTTGGTCACAGTGTTCATTTTCAGTATATCTCCCGCTCCTGTATGTTTCAGAATCCTAACTCAACAATTACGAAACATACAGGGGTGCTTCCATTAGAAGTTAGACACACTGTATAACGTTCACTTTGAGTCTATCCTGATCTTCATATATCTTCATCTGAAGTTTCAGCTTCAAAATGAGATTTTAAAAACGGGTTGACAAGGAAAAAAGTTATGACTGCAAAACCAGAAAGTTAATTTCTTGAGATCACTCTGTAAATAAAAGAGATAAGAAGACAATTTGGAAAATGTCCCTAGGTAATGAGATCATCTTCATGCCTCTGCTGTCAAAGTTGAAAAAAAAAGTTTTTGTCCATTTGGGATTCTTTTGAAAATTCCGAAATTTTTCAGGTGACACCCTGTATATATATGTGTTATATGAAGAACCTCATGTTGTGAAGAGGTACGAGATAATAGCTGAAGGACTGGGCAAGCGAACAGTGTAATCCGAATTAAAATTGTTCAAAGCAGAAAAAAGTTACTCATATTTTAAAAGGAAGGTCTGTTTGTTTGTGTTTGCTCTACCTGCTAAACTTGATCTTTTTCTATGACTTTCTCTGTTTACATCATACCATGAATAGAGACAACTATGAAAAAAAAAACAACTTTAGCAAGTTTAGCAACACAAACGAACAGACCTAGGGACAACATTATGGGGAGCGACGAAATCAGTGTTGCGTAGTTTAGTAAAAATATGAACACAAAATCGATTTATGAGTCATGAGTTCATTGGAAAAAACGACAGGATTTGAAGTACTAGTTGAATATGGAATGATTATCATCTAACAAAATATTTGCTAATCTAGATATTTTATTGGAAAAAAACTAGCCAACTTATAAACAAAAACCATGTGACACAGCAGAATCATATTATGGTAAACCCTCTTGTCGTAGTTTAGATGAATTTCGTGGAAATTATAAATAATATATCGGTGAAATTTCAAAAAATTGTGAAATATATTTTGTGTACTTTACCTGCAACTATAGCATAGGCGATACCCTGTGGAATTTCTGTTAAGGCTACCGTGAAACCAGCTAACAAATCTTGAGAAAAAGTCTCGAAATTATAAGCTGGAAACCAAGTTAAAATAGGAAGCTTCTTTTTCAATTTTCGTCTGATGTTCAAAGATGTGTTTGAAGTTCCTGGAAAATAACATTATTACGTAGTTATTGGTGGTTATACTAGCAAGGCCAGATTAACAACAGGGCGAGAGGGGCAATTCAGAATTTTTTTTTTGCTATTGCATTACCTCGTTGGTCCTAGCACTGGGACCAAACGCCCCATAAGTCGAAACTTGTGCGGGGTTAGGTAAGCATACAAACACAAACATCCATGGCCTAACTAGGATTTTAACCTATGTCTCGGTGGGAGTCCCCATACGAACTCACGCTCTCGACCACCGAGATTGGGGATGAAAATTTGGTCAACAAGCATCATGAAATAATAATTAATAAATATCAAAACCATCCGACGAAAAACCCAATCTGTTTCAATCTCAAGTACACAAGAGTACTTGATAGGGTTTTTAGAGACTTAAGTTTTGAAAGCGTTTATCAGTCTGGGTCAAAGTTAGGTAATTTAGTAGGTAATCCAAAAGATAAGGTGGATACACTTGGAAAGTCAGGAATAAACGAAATTAGTTGTAACGATTGTGATGAAACATATACAGGCCAAACCAGGCGTCCCATAAAACAAGGTTCAAAGAACACTTAGCACATTTAAAATATGGTAGGTTAGATCATAGATTAAAAAGACCAGTTAAGCAAGTAATGTTAGAAAACTAGATGCCTATGAAAGCTTAGATATTTGAGCATAGTAATAGAGTTATGAATAACGTTAATGGACCTATCCCATTTAGCTGTATAGTTTAGTAATATGACATGTGAATTCAACCATGAATAACATTAACTTGGCGGTCATTGTGTATTCAAGGTTGGGTGGACATATACCTATTATATAAGTAGCCCACTAGGATAGAGAATTTAGTTTTAATCTACTACTGAAGATGCTAACGTAGTTAGCGAAACACGTGTCGAGGTGTAAAAATCAGTTCAATATCTTCCTTTCAGTAAATAATATTAGTCCAAGATAAATACATTGTATTTCATCGAACGGCACCTCTGCCAATCACTATCCTGAGCAAAATGATCTTATCTGTGCCACCCCTCAGTCTGATCCAAATCCACGGTACAGCGATTTATTTGCTGCTATTATTCCGGATATACTTCCATGATGTGATAACGAGTTGAAACAAGAAGCAAATAAAAGGGGATGATGTCACATTTGCGAATATCCTAACGTGCCGCGATTCAAATTGATCTAAGCTAGTGGCAGAGCGTCAATGCCTCCGAGAATATTTCGCCCTCCTCTAAAGATATGATCCTCCTCTGGAAGCCAGGACATATTGGAGTGGAGGGGAATGAACAAGCAGACGCTCTGGCACGACAAGGGGCTTCAACGCCACTGATCGGACCAGAGCCATTCTGCGGCCTTGGAAATTCCTATTTCCAAGGAGAACTTGAGAAGGCGTAAGGAGCCTGGAGAGCCAGACAATGGAGAAGACTTCCTGGACTACGGCAGGCTAAAGATCTCCTTGGAAATTTCAACCGAGAAAGATCTAAGACACTGACAAACCTCAGCAAAGGAAGTCTCAAAGCAATAACGGGATTTCTAACGGGGCATTACAGACTCAAAGAACACCTAAGGAAGCTAGGCTTACAGGAGGACGGCACCTGCAGATTCTGTGAGGAAGAACCAGAAACACTCCATCACATACTGATGGAGTGTAACGCTGTACATCACAAAAGATTGAACATACTGGGAACATACCAGCTGACTGTGGAAGAAATACCACAGCTAGACCCCCTCAAAATCCTCAAATTCCTGAAGGAATTGAATCTCGAGGGGCTGCTATGAACAAGAAATCCTTGGTATAGCAAAAGCAGATGGGGCACAATAGATCTAATTGGGTCGCAGCGCATCTGTCACCATCCAACCTACCAATACCAATACCAATGCCTGCCTGCACTGAGAAGCATTTGAAATATTCCTACCATTTGGGCGGAAATGAGAGTCAACACAAAAAAACTAATCTGAAAACCATGCACACCAGTGCAGGCATGTTCTAGTGGAACAGAATTTAACGCCTTTTAAAACAATGTGCCTCTTGACCCTCCTTTTCATATGAGGTTCTAAGGATTACATCTAGCCTTCCTAGGGGGGTTGAACTAAGAGGGCAAAAATATGACTTCCTTAGAAATGAAATTGACGTGTCTTCCATTTTTCATACAATTTACTGAAAGGAGGATATTAATGGTGGGAAGTTTTCTAAGTGACACGACATTTTTCGGAAACTGCCTGACAGGAAATAATGAGCTAGGGATACGCCTCGTTAAAAAAATCAGATATCTTGATCAACAAAGTAGCATTTCGCGTTCTAGATACAAAAATAACTAATATCGCAGTTATATCTAAAACCAGCTATTACTGATTTAGTTATTATAGGGCTGTCGCAGTGTGGTATCGCAGTTATATCAATAATAGAATATCGCAGAGATATCTAAACATAGATCTTGAAGTCTAAAGGTTAACGCAGCATGACGTCTATGGCAACTAACGATTTGACATCGCAGAGAGATATCTAAATCCTGCTAGCCCTAATTCATATATCACAGGGATGTCGTAATGATAACAATATGACATCGCATCAGGGACATCTATATCCGGTAATTATTGATTCTGATATCTAAGAGATGTCGCGGTGTGATAACGGAGTAATGTCAACGATTATACCGCAAGGGCATCTAAATCCCATTTTTAACGATATTGATTACATCTCTGAGATGTGGATGTGTGATGTGTGGTTCCTTTGAACTTGTAGAGGGACAGGTATAGTGCATCGAGGCGATGTTTTTTGCTGAAGTCGTCCCAATACTGACTTTATATAAAGTCTACCTATATACCTATTTATTATGTATTTGGATTTTCATATTTGTTGCGTTCCTACTTTCTCTCTCAATGAATGAATTTTTATTGTTTTTTTTTTTTTTTGTTTTTCGTTGAATATAGAAATGAAGGATTATGACAATCTCTTCGAACATTGCATAGATCTGGTTTATCCACCTTCTTCTTATCCGACTGACTATACAGGTTGTTTCAGATTCAAATGTACATACCATACCTGTAGATAGAGGACACTGTGATGGTTCCAAATCACCCTCCTTTGATGTGTCTACCGTCTTTTATAACTGAGATACAGGACGTTATCTTGATTTTGGCAAAATCATCATCTGGTCATAGCTTTTGAACCACTTTGTATAATCTATCCATACTTGGTAGAAATATTCCACTTATATTACCCATCAAAACTAAATCAGAATCCAGGTCCGTCTTGAGGAAATACAGAAAACTTCTTTTATATCAAAAACAACACTCTGCATGGCAAAATTTCGTAGATCTGTTTCGATATTTGAAAAGAGCAGGAAAAAACGAATGGAGTGACGTACTTTTCACGACCGCGCATCTGATTTGACAGATGTTTTATTATTATGGTCTGATATACTCGGCTCCATATTGAGTAATATTTATTGAACTCGTAATTCGAAATTCAATTATTCCAATTATTTCAGGAAATAATAACAGTCTTCAAAGTTCAACATCATTGGCGTAAAATAGATATAGATTTGTTCATTCGACAGAATAACGTCTGTGGTTTTGGAATTTCTTGAGGGCTCGTTTTATTCTTCACTATTGATTCATGAGCTGCGAAAAAGTAGGCTGTGCAAAAAAATCTGATATCCTAACAGTTCATAATCACTAGTTCGATATTATTGGTAACGTTAAGATAAATTGTTGGTACTTGTTCAATGGGTTGTTACATTTCAAAGTGTTTATAACTATGCCTCAACACAATAAACTCAATGTTCACACTGGTGATTATGATCTGTCAGAATTTAAAAAATGTTTGCACAGCCTAGTTCACCGCAACTTATGAAAAAATAGTGAAGTATAAAATAAGCCCTCGAAAATTTTTAAAATCATTGACAAGCTATTCAGTCAAACGAACAAATCAATCAATAGTTCACCTGATTTGACTCTAATGAAGTTTAACTTTGAAGAAAATTATTTTTATGTATCAAAATTGGATGTTTAATTACAGTTCAATGAAAATGCCTCGAAATGGGGTGAATATTTCAAAACATGATGATAAACCATCTGTGAAATTGGATGCGCTCTGGTAATGAGTAGGTCACTTTATTAATTTTCTCCAGCTCTTTCAAAATATCAAAACAGATTCACAAAATTTTGCCATACAGAGTGTTGTTTTTGAAATAAAGAAGTTTTCTGTTTTTTCCTTAAGACGGACCTAGATTCTGATCTCGATTTTTATTCAGTTTTGATGTGTAATATAAGTGGAATATTTCTACCAAGTATGAATAGATTATACAACGTGGTTCGAAAAATATGACCAGATGAAGATTTTGCCAAAATCAAGATATCGTACTGTATCTCAGTTATAAAACACGCTGAACACATCAATAGGGGTGATTTAAAACCGTCAAAGTGTCTTCTATCTGCCAGTATCGTATGTACATTCAAGTCTAAAACACCCTGTGTATCATATATCCGTATGTATGTACCTATTCAAATATTCTCGCAAATTCATCCTTATTTGGTAGTCTCAATCCGACCCTGTACATACACTCGTCTTTAGCACATCATTTTTATACTTTACATCGACTACTAGCGTTGTGCTAGACACGGCGAAAATGGAAAATGGCCAAATGAAAATTATTCTCTATTTTCTTAGTACTTCTGCCCAACTTGAATGAATTATATAAAAAATTTACTCAGCTCATGTCTCATAAAGTCGTATAGCTTGTAGGTAATGATTAATCGTATTAATGATTTGGAATATTCACATATTATACACAATGTAAACAAAAACAAATCATAAACATAACAAGGCAGAATCCGGCTTCAACGCATTATCATTTCAACAAATATTATTTGCTTACCTGAGATCCAGTCGACCAATGGCATTTTTCAGAGGGGAAAAGTAAGTTACTTGATTACATGTTCCTTTTTTCCTGGCCCAATAAGATTTTCATTAATAATTTAATTTTTGTAAAGTGGCCCAGAC